AGAGGACCAGGAGAAAACAACCTTCACATGTCCCTATGGAACTTTTGTGTTTAGAAGGATGCCTTTTGGTTTATGCAATGCACCCGCAACCTTTCAACAGTGCATGATGGCCATATTCTCTGACATGATGGAAAAATACATCGAGGTATTCATGGATGATTTTTCTGTGTTTGGAGATTCATTTGATGACTACTTGAATCGGTTGACTCTTGTACTGCAAAGATGTGAAGAAAAGAACTTAGTGCTAAATTGGGAAAAATGTCATTTCATGGTAAAGGAGGGGATAGTCCTGGGCTACAGGATTTCCTCAAAGGGAATTGAAGTTGACAAAGCCAAAATACAAGTCATTGAAAAATTGCACCCTCCTAATTCAGTTAAGGGGATCAGGAGCTTCTTAGGACATGCAGAGTTTTACAGAAGGTTCATTCAAGATTTCTCAAAAATTACAAAACCTCTGTGTAATCTATTGGAGAAGGATGTGTCTGCCTTTAACACTTTGAAAGAAAAGTTAACTTCGGCACCTGTAATAGTAGCACCTGATTGGGATCTACTTTTCGAACTTATGTGTGATGCTAGTGATTTTGTAGTGGGAGCGGTGCTTGGCCAACGTAAAGGCAAAGTGTTACATGTAATCTACTATGCCAGCAAAACCTTGACAGATGCTCAGATCAACTGCGCAACAACGGAAAAAGAGATGCTAGCAGTGGTCTTTGCCTTCGACAAATTTCGTTCCTATCTGATTGGTTCAAAGGTGATAGTTTACACTGAGCATGCAGCATTGAAATATTCGTTTGAGAAGAAGGATGCTAAACCTAGGCTAATTCGATGGGTTCTGTTACTGCAAGAGTTTGACATTGAAATTCACGATAAAAAGGGTACAGAAAATCAGGTAGCAGATCATTTATCAAGGCTAGAGCAACTCCGTGATTCAAATGATGTGGATATTAATGAGGTCTTCCCAGATGAGCAGTTAGTGTAGATAGAAAAGGCTCCATGGTATGCAGACATTGTTAATTACTTAGCTAGTGGCTACATGGATCATGATCTCACCTATCTCCAGAAAAAGAAGTTGATTCATGAAGCGAAATTTTATTATTGGGATGATCCAAATTTATACAAAAGAGGGGCAGACCAGATCATTAGGAGATGTGTGCTAGAGGATGAGATGAAACGTATCCTTTCATGGGTTCATGCATCGGCTTATGGAGGACACTTTGGCCCACTAAAACAGCAGCAAATGTGCTTCAATATGGTTTCTTTTGGCCTACATTATTCAAGGATTGCCACAGTTTCTACAGATCATGTGATAAATGTCAAAGAACAAGTAACATATCAGCGAGTCACAAGATGCTACTTAACAACATTTTGGAGGTGGAAATATTTGATGTCTGGGGGATTGATTTTATGGGTCCCTTTCCATCATCTTACAACAATCAGTATATCCTACTGGCAGTGGATTATGTCTCTAAATGGGTAGAAGCTAAAGCATTGCTTACAAATGACGCGAGAGTAGTGGTGGACTTCATAAAGAAACACATCTTTAACCGCTATGGATCACCTAGGGCCATAATAAGTGATGGTGGATCTCATTTCCGCAATCGGTTATTCCAGGCAGTGCTACATAAGTACGGGGTACAACATCGAATTGCCACTCCTTACCACCCTCAGACAAGTGGACAGGTAGAAACCTCGAATAGACAGTTGAAAAGAATTCTGGAGCTCACTGTGAATGCATCTCGCAAGGATTGGTCAAAGAAATTAGACGATGCTTTATGGGCATATCGCACTGCGTACAAGACACCTATTGGGATGTCCCTATATCGACTAGTCTTTGAAAAAGCATGTCACCTACCAGTGGAGTTTGAACATAGAGCATACTGGGCATTGAAGCAGTTAAACATGGACCTCGAAAAGGCTAGAGAAACAAGAATACTGCAGCTACATGAATTAGAAGAATTCAGAAGATAAGCATATGAGAATGCAACCATCTACGAGGAAAGGACGAAGCAGTGGCATGACAAAAATATCAAGCAAAGAATTTTTAGAGTGGGAGATCAAGTGCTTTTATACAATTCCAGACTTAAACTGTTTCCAGGAAAGTTAAAATCTAGATGGTCCGGCCCTTTTACGGTCTCTCAAGTGTTTCCGTACGGCACAGTTGAATTACATCATCCAACAAAAGGAAACTTCGAAGTAAATGGCCAACGTATCAAGCACTACGTGGAAGATTTTCCCATCGCTAAAGAGAGCCTTGACCTAGCTATACCAGAATAAGAGCAGCACAAAGTCCAGCTAACGACTTAAAAGAAGCGCTTATTGGGAGGCAACCCAATTTTCAAACTTTTTATTTTATTTTTCGTATCGCGTAGCATATACTTTTGTTTTGCTTACTAGATTGCATTAGATTTAGGCACGTTTCAATTTTTAGGAGTCATCACCCATATCCCTTCCGCCCTCAGGCCCTTGAATTTATTGTTGGTTATTTTGATTGTTTGAGTTAAGTAACCCTTGTTCCTTATCTTTAATTTGTCAAATTTGATTGTTCAGGAACATGATGTCGTGGAACACTCAAACTAACATAGATCCAAGGGAAAGCATGATGAAGAATATTATCTAGTCGTCTCACATATTGCCTCACACATTCAACAGAAAAATTTGGGGAGTACCTTTTTCTTTTTCTTTTCTACCACCTTTATGTGCTTATTTATGTTTTATGACATTGAGGACAATGTCAGTTTTAAAGTTTGGGGGTGAAAAAAAAAGTTTTTGTTTTTATGTTTAAAAATTTTTTTTTATTTAGTTGTGTGCTTGTATGAGTTAAACAGTCTAGCAGACAATGATGATTTTATTTGAGTTTTGGTGTTGATTTATGGACTGTGGATAGGATACATACTAGACTAATTGAAGCTCAACCTTGCAAAATTTAATACTACAAGCGCACTAGAATTGAGTTTGACATTGTGATGAAATGAGTTGTTCCATGTTTGATAGGTTGATTTAGTTGGACTTAGATGTCTTATTCAAACCATATTAAATTATTTTTCCTTAGACCAAATTTAGTACAGTTTGGGGGTGACTTTACAGTTGTAGAAAGATGCGAATGTCAATGTGGATTCCATGTGTGAAAAGTTATGTGTGGATTGTTTTAGACTAACGAGATAAAATTGGGTGAAAGTTTTGAGTTGGCGGTCAATTTTCTTGAATAAGTGTGTGGTAAGGGGCATTGCACTAATCAAGGTATATATTTTGAAATTTAAGACGTCTCTCTAAAGTCCTTATGTCTCGAGTAATTAAGCCTGCAAGGGTATCTTAAAACCTGGTGCCCTAAAGTCATCTGATTTGGGAGTCATCGGCCTAAAGCTCGTTAAAGGGGTCATTTAGAAAGTAATAAGAGATGAAGTTGCACTTACAAAAAAAAAAAAATTCTCTTCGAAGCGTTTTTGACTCGGGTCAGTAAGTCTGTAAGGGTGTTTAAAACCTGGTGCCCTAAAATCATCTGATTTAGGAGTCATCGGCTTAAAGCCTGCTACAGGGGTCATCTAGAAAGCTTAATGGAGAGAATGCAAAAATAAAAAAAATTAAATTATGGAAAAAGACAAAAGCAAGTGCATGAAAAAAGCAGAAGTTACTTATTTGAGGGAATTTGACTTTCGATAAAAGATAATTACCCTAGTTAAGTCTTGAGGTCGAAGCAATCAAATAATTGAAGAATCCGTGTTCATTGAAGTGTTGACTTGTAACTTATAACGTCCACCTAAACTCGAGAGGGTGAGGATAGTAATGAAATATTCAACTTTAGGTTGCACGCTGGGAAAAGAGTGAAAAGAATAAGTTTGGGGGTGTGTGAATCTTACAGAGATGAAATGACATATTTGACCACTAAGGGTTGGGAATTGGAATAACTTGTGGACTCATTAATGTCTACTTAATTCTTCACACACACACGTCGATTTTGCATTGGNATACCTTTATTTCGTTGAATTAAGATTCTAGTACTTTAATTTTTTTATGTGTTGATTTTAATGTCGTGCTTAATGCTTTTAATCACTTGATAACTAATTAGATGATTTGCGAACAATGATTGCGTAGAGATACGGATTATTTGTTTAGACTACATGTTAAAATTTGGTAAATTGATATAACGTGTAGAGATATCTATATTGATTGCTGCGGCCGTGTGTGAATTCTTAGAACCAATGTTGCATTTAATTAAATTTAATTTGCATAGAGATATGAAATTGAACTAATTAAATAGGCTCAACGAGAACTCGAGAGGAGTAAGTTGAATACCATAGAAGAATTTGACCGAACACTACTTTAGGTTGTATGAATCTTGATTTACGAAGTAAAGGTGACCATTAGGTGAAATTGTTCCGCCCTAAGGTCCTTTATTATTTGAATTCTCAATCATTTTCTATTGCATCCATTCGCATTTTCTTTAGTTGTTAGATTTAAAAATCACATTCAATCAAATATATATATATTTTTATTTATATTCCTCAAATAGGAGTTAGGAATAGTAAATTGAGTAATAAAATATAGTCCTCGTGTGAACGATAATTCGGACTCAAAATGTCCACTTTACTACTTGTTACGATCCGTCTACTTGCGGGATAAAATCCACAACAGAACGTAATAGGCTGCGAACATCTTGTTCAGTTGCTTTAGATTGAAAGTAAATAAATTTAGCATGCTTAAATAAATTACAACTTTTTAACTACAACTGAAGATGATATATAATTATGTACCTTAGGTTTTTCTTTTTTTTTCTTGGATTTTTTTCTTCACACATTTTTTCTTCTTGAAAATAAACTTCTCTACATTGGAGACCCTTCTATTCTTGGATGGACATCCGTGTCTTCGAACAGCAAGGGGACTCTGAAGTCCGCTTTCACTAGGAGCTTTATGAAAATTACCAACATTATCACAACAATCATTATTACTCATAGTGGCATTAGTACTTATCGAAGAACTCCTCAATGCTGATTCAGTTTTTCTTATTTTTAATTGAAACTAACCCTTCATGTTCAATAATACGGCACAATTCTCATCAGAAGTGACAGCCAAGTCTGCAACATGTGTTGATGTTAAGCCTCCTCATCGTTCTTCCCAATCATCATAGTTAACTTTCACCTTTGTGTGAGAACTTTTTATGTCCTTCTTCCAACAGGCTAAGATATACATTTCGAGGACCTTTTTGAATATTAATTACATTTGAAAAGAACTAATAAAAGAATGCTTGCATAAAATTCCTCTGAATTCAAATAATCGGCAAGAACATTTTACCTCGTTTGCCCTTCATCGCAAAAAACAGTGAACAGAAAGTATTTCAGTTTATCTCCAACCAATATATCCTCAATCGTTAAACAATCCTTTTTCCTCGTCAATACAAAAAACTTCACGGTATAATTTTCAGTCAACTCGTGGAAATTCTTTGAATTTGAATTGTATATACACTCTAAAATTGCTTTTCTATTTGAAAATGTGTTATACGCGGAATCCATGTATTAACAGTTTTCTTTTAGCACAAGTTCTAATATCTCTAATACATGAGTAAAATCCTGCTTTCTGTGGACTCAGCCCATGATTTTACTTCGTTTACTTTTAAAATTGTAACGAACACTAAAGAATTCCAAACTTCAACTAGTAGTTGATGCAACACTTCAAGAAACACACACACACTCTCTATACATAGTCAAACAAATATATTTATCTACATAAAATAAATATTTAAGATTACAATTTATCTCTTCAGTCGTTAGAACTTGATCTTTCAGAATAGGTTAAATAGGAGAATTGCTAGTCCGGCAATGAGCAAATGCAGATTGAATTGAGTAGCTTTTGCAGCCCAACTTGTTGCAGGTGGTGGTGCACCTATGTCTTTACAGTCAAGGCCTTCTCTCGTTTCAGTGCACAAATTTGCAAACAAGGCAGCTGGATACTTTCCATACAGATTTGCATAGCTTGTAAAGGTTTCCATACAGTCGTTTTTGAGGTCATTGATTTCATCTCGAATAGGGCAAAGCAATTCTTTCAGGGCCGGACAACACCGTTCCTTTGTGTAGTGCGGCCCTTTGCACTGGCTTGTGACGATTGTGTAGTTCAGCGTCTCCAAATTCAGAGGACAATCTGCAAAAGAGACAATAAATTGTTGCAAGGATAATGGATCTTGTTTTAGGACTCATTTGGCGTTGCTTTTGCTTTTACTTCCGGTACAAGACTTATTTTAATATTTATTTGAAAGATAATTTCCAAAAGAACTTCCGATTTTGAAAATTCTTTTAGAGAACGATATTGGACCAATTTCCTCTAAAACTCTTTTAATTAGAAGAAACACTTTTATCAAATTTGTCAAATGGATTCAAAAGCAGTTTTTGGGTCTTAAAAGATGGTTTTGATTTCTCAAAAATCATGTCAAAAGGACCCTTAGTATAGTGGAGAATGTGGATAATTGCTACAAAAATTCTAATGGGAAGTAAAATATCTATAAATACATATACATGTAGTCTCAACATACAATACTAACTATATGCTCTATGTTCTTTAGATATATTTTTCTACGAAAACAGGGTGTTTTTATATTGGAGATTTGACTCGACTTTGGAGGATCGAATTTTCATTGTAGATATATTTTGACAACTAAATTCTTTGATAACTTTTCAAAAATTTCAAAATGCTTTCATAATTTTTAATTTATATTAATAATATTTGGAAAACTTGATGACACTTTCATGAAATGATTTAGGAAAACTTTTGTTCAAAATATTTGAAAACTTAGAGTGTGTTTGATTGATATAGAAAATATTATCTAAAAATGAAAATGTTTCCTTGTTTAGAGGATAACAAAAATCTACTCCTCCTAAGATGATATTTTCCTTAAAAAGAAGGAAAATTAGACATATTTTCAAAAGTTGTAAAGTATTTTCAATAGAAAAAAATAGCAATAAGACATTCTAAAATAGTAATTTGGGTGAAAACTGATATTTTTTCATGACAAATAAATGCAATCAAATGCACCCTTAGATTGTGAATCGCACACTCAGAGACACTTTTGTGGCCTCCATTTAAGAAGTAACTTAATTTCAAACTTCAACAAATAATTTATACAATTTCGAACTTTAATTCTTATACTACAATATATCACACGTGATAAATAGTTGAAAGTTTATATTAAATAGCTATTTTAATTTATAATTTTAACTTTTATCACGTTTTCACAGCTTTTTGTGTCTTACCCATTCTCGTGACACGTTTTGTTTCCATTTCCATGCAGTCTAATTTTTCCTACTATAACGATTTTTTGAAATCATAAACTAGGTATCAGTGCCTCAGTCTAAATTAATATCTTTTCCCACCATATATGAATAAATTAACAAAACAACGGAAGAAGAAGTCGTTACTGGTTGTTTGCTGTAGAAGGCTACGTCCCACTGAGCCATGAAACTCAAAAACA